CCCGAACACCTTGTTTTGTGAGCACCAACACTGATCCAAACCGATTGTGCAATCCAACAAAATGTCCAGACTGCATCCTTGCTGCTGCATCGCTCCGCTTGCCACTGGATCCAGCCGTTTGTACATGATGCGTTCACCAAACAAAGGAATTGGCTTCTTCCACTGTTTCCCCGTCCGACGTTCCTCCGGGGTTTGACCATCTGTACCAACCTTGTATCTGTTGATCATATCACTGCAATACCGGGGCAACCAAGACCAAACCACATGGTCTTCTGGGAGGCTCTGACCTAAACGCTTCTCAAGGCCACTCTTGTTGGCCCGCATGCGACGCTTCAAATCATTGATGCAACTTTCAACTTCACCATTTGCCTTGTGATCTCCTGGAGGAGATTCTTGGGAGATGATTGTGACATCCCCACAACCTGCAATTGCTTCACGCTTCAACGCGCGCATTGCTGGCTCACCATCACTCTTTGAGATGAACTTCTTGTATCCCAACAACTCATAAAATTTCCTCATCTGTTGCAAGCTAGCCTCATTCCGTGCCTTCTTGTTGTCAAGAGCTGTTGCAAACACCATCTTAATCTTGGTCTTCCTGTCGATCATTGCAAGAAACGGTCTATTATCATCCTCCTCCGGGGACATGTAAAAGAAATCATGGTTGACTACTGAAATTGTCTCTTCCTCATGGTCTTGCCTCATGGGGCGTTGTCCCAATCCCCAACCTTCAATGCACTGCGGGCACCAAGCCCTGTAAACCGCGTGACCACTTGCTTCATATTCATCAATGTCTTTCTGGATAGGCTGTCCTGGATCAAAGGCCGGAATGGCCCTACGAGCCTCAATTGGCTCCTCGACAGCCACCAACTCACCTTCCTCCAACGGAGCTAATGCAGGTTCTTGGAGCTCCGTTTCCTCCTCCTCTTGCAAGTCCGCCCATGACACTTTCTTCTTTGGCTTCTCAACTGAGCCAAGTGAACGACTGTCTGACTCAACCTTCGATTGCGAGCCGCTCTCACCGATTCGCAAATACAAGTTATACACGCCACGCTCCTCATACAAGGGGATCTCACCAACACCACCGAACCGACTGTAGGTTTTGCACAACTCTTTGTACAACCGACTTGAGTGATCAATCAATCTGCCACCGCCAGAGCCAAGCCACGTGTCAAAACCCTTCTTGTGAACAGAATTCGCACTCAACAACACTTTATGGACATCAGTGACATGCCCAGTGACTCTTCTTTTATGACCACTCTCATCAACACCTGTGATAGTTGTTTTGCCCAAATCATCCAACCTTTCCCCCGATGCGGTCTTGAAAGGCCGGTCACTCTGACCCGAGTCCACGCTCTCCGACTTGTAAACTTTGGGCAATGCTGTAATTGCTGCTCCTGTATCATAGTTCAAGCGAAGCCAACCATCACACAAGTCCGAACTCAAGTGATACAAATCTAGGCCACCAGCTTCTGCTTCCTTCTCCGGCTCCTGATTCAAGGCGTTCACACCTCGAGAGTTCCCTTTTGCATCTTTGCCTTTTCCACTTCCCTTGCTCCAACAATCTTTAGCCTTGTGGCCCTCTTTGCCACAGTTGTTGCACCGACCTTGGAAACGTGAGACCTGTGATGAACTCCTCGAGGATGAAGTCTTGCCTTTGCCCTTGAACGAATTGTCCTTTCCTTTGCCCTTTCCTTTTGAGGACTTGCTCCAACAATCTTTTGCCAGATGGTTGGTTTTGCCACACAAGTAGCAAGCCCGCTTCCCATCTCCAGTGCCCTTCCCACCAGCCTTGCCTTTGTTACCCTTGGAACTCTTAATCAGAGCCCCGATGTCCTTGATGCCCCTCACGGCATCAATCAATGTTCCAACATCCATAGGAATTGCTTCGCTCGACGATTGACTGAAATTGTTGCTGATGGTCATCTTGGCACCAGTCTTCGCTTCCACAAACACACGAATTTCCTCCTCCATCTGGTCGTATGTCTTGAAGCGAGTGTAGTTCAACTGTAAATGTTGCTCCAGATCTTTCGGAATAAGATTCTCCAAGGCATTCATTGCTAAACTCTCAGGAAGTTCTTCACGTTTCCCGAATTGATCCTTCTTCCGATTGTATCGGGCCCTCAAAGCCCGCCACCTTTCCAGCGCTCCAGCCAAAGTCTCATAGGTTGCTCGGTCCGGCGTAATGAGAGCATTCAGCATCACGCATTTCCTCCCACCTGTCGCCGGATCATATTTTCTATGCAGCAATCTCCAAGCCTCAAGTCCACTATTGCTCGACGTGTTGTCAACAACATCAAAAGGCGTCCCCTCAGTTGTCGACCTCAATGCACTGTACAACTTCGTGTTCATGTCATCAATGTCTTCAATGACATCATTTGGATCTGCATGCTCACCGTAGGTATTGGCCAACAATGCACTGCTTACCTCTACCTCTGATTCTGAAGCCTACTGCATAGCTTCCCTAAACTTTTCCCCAAAAATTCCTGCTACATAATCTTCAAGTTTAATACTCCACAGCCTGAAACGAAGCTCTACTTGCTCATCGCCCAGCGTCTACGGCTTTCCCAAGCCTTTCCTATCAAAAAAATTCTTTCTATCTCTGTGTCCCCCGATCGATTTGAGGGCTTTGGGGATCAACTTCAAGACCTCCATGCTCTCGGCCCTCTCTTACCTCAAGGCCTCATTCACAGCAGCGACCTGTCGAACCTCTATCTCCGCCTGTTGAAGCCTCTAAGTAAGCACAACGTTGGCATCTCTCATCTGTTGGCTCTCTATCAAACTCCTCTGCAATTGTTCTTGCAATCGAGTTTGTTCCTGCTACAACGATTAAATTGCTTGCATCAATTATTAGACATTCATTCCAGTTACATTAATTATTAGACATTCATTCCAGTTGCATCTTATTATTGGGTTATGTCGGAATCAATAGCGACAAAAAGAACAACCCAATTCCCAGTCTCCCAAACAATCGACCGACGAAATGCTCAACCAAGCGACAACCAATGTATTAATTCAATAACCAATATTATTCCAACAAATCCATAATGCACAAGCCAATATCCAACATTATCCTAATCAACTGCTCAACACCGACAAGATAAATCATAATTGCAAAACCACCAACTCACCCACCTGCGGCCCTTCTAAGTAAATCCTGTTAGATACGACAGCCTTACCTTTAGACAATACCGTGCCCCACCGCGCTACCATACACAAGTAAATTATTAAACCCTCCCCCCGATTTCGCCTCGCCTTTTGGGCCTACATAAGCTAGGGTATTCAATATCTTTACAAATTCCACAAAAATATTCCTATATATTAAATTAAATTTATTAAAAAATTCGCCATCTAATTCTTTAAAAAAAAATATATATCCAAATATTATAAATACAAAATATATTATAATTATCAAAAAATAACTTAATAACATTAATTATATTTTATACAATAATTATTCTATTTAACAATAAAAATAGAATATATATATTTATTTATTTAAATATATTATATTAATATATTATTAAAGTAATTTCAAAATATTCATTTTTTTTAAGTATCTTTTTGTTAAAATATTATATATTTAAATATATATATATATTTATATTTTAAATTAATTCAAGTGAATTTGAATCAATCATATTTTCTTTAATCAATAATTCCTGCCCAATATGATCAATAGAATCCCAATATTAAGAGGACAAATGGATATAATATATGTTCTGTCCATCCGTGATATGCATAATGGCAGAATCTGGCCTCCAAAGCTCGTGCCTGGGCAGCACTTTGGATTGAGGTGGCAAGTCACACCAATTTGCAATCAATATGAAACACGTGACCACGTTTCGAAGGTCATGTACATTCCTAGTCACGGAACATCATATTCACAAGTCTCCCATGTTGCCTGGGCAACAATCGCTTGTCACCTTCAATAGAATCTACACCTTTTCATTGAGACATTCAGTTCCTCACCTCCCTATCTACCGTACCGTGGTGCCTGTTGCCGCACTTCCTCTGTGGCGTCGCTCAAGTGCCGACGTTGCACCGCGCGCTCCTCAGAGGCGAGCGCCGGATCATAGGGGTTGCCGTGGGTGGATGCTGGAGGGGAAGGATTTGCCGTTTGGAGGCAGAAAAATTCAGAGACTGAGACTCTCCCCCGTTTTTGCACACCAACGTCAGACCTTTGAAATCTCCAAATCGACTTGTCACACTTCTTGCTATGGGTGATCCTTGCCTTGGCGATCTGGATCATCTCCAAGAGGCGCTCGCCACTTGGGGCCTGGCGGAGGCATATTCAGAGAACAACCAGGCTTCTCGAAAACTTGGTTTTGAGACCCATGTCCCTCAGTCACCTGGATTTGCAGGGGTCTCTTGCTCAAGGCAAGGCAGGCTTGTCTGTTGCGGTAAGGCCAATTCTCAAAGAAATGAAGACACTTGTGCCACCCCATGGTTTCGGGAGACGCCATGTTTAGGCACAAACCCCAAATCCCAAGAACTTGGCACCCAAGAACAAAGGCCAGAACAAATAAAGTAAAACAACAATAATATATGACAAAATATGTAAAAGTCTCCTCCATGAAGATGTTCATCCAGGTAGCAGAAGACAAGCCAAACGTTGAAGTGAAACCAACCAACCCTGCTAAACAAACGAAGAAGGTGGTGGTCCGAGGTTTCTTGTTTGTTGGAATTAGGGAGAACCAGCCGGACCCAAATCCAAGTCTGCAGGTGGTTCAGGTGGGTGGCCGGGTGGCTGATTCATGGGGATATTGATGAAATTCTAGTCACTAGAATTCGAGTACACTCAATCAACTGTTGTGTCCTTCGGAACAATGCACCTTTTCTAAAAAGGCAACGTTTTGGGGCGTTTGAGAAGACTCCATGGACGTTCTACATGCCAATGCACATCAAAAAGAAACGGAAACGCTCAGATTGAACCAATGACCGATCAGCAGAACAGCCCAAATGGCGACCGTTCACGTGCTAAGCCGGCGTTCCGCGTCTTTTTCACCACTTTGACGCCCACGTGCAATGACTCTGTCCAAGTGCAGCCGGGAGTGCGTCAAAACTTCCTAAACTCGATCCCGTCGTGGACGAAACATCAGCTTTCCCTAGCAACGATTCATCACCTCACATGATTTGGGTCACGCCCACTAGTCTCCCTCGTCTCCATTGAGCTTCATCTGCTCGGCAGAAATGCCAAATGCAGCTGCTCAAACAACAACAAATGCCGCGCGGTGCGCTTCGATGGTGCCCTGCAACTGGAGCCGCGCGGTGGGCAGCTCATTGATCCGCCGAGCCAGGGAGCTTCCTGTGGACTGACGGTTTCGAACCAAATCACGGTGCGCAAGAGATGGACAGAACCTTCTTTCCCACACATCAATTGCGTATGATTCTAGTTCTTGACACATGTCCGGGAATCTCGGAGAGCGTGCTTCGAAGCTTTGGGGACCCAAGCCAACTGGCTTCATCCATTTTGGGCGTGTTGTCTTCCTGCACTATGTTGAAAGCGTTGGAAATCCGACCAGTTCAAAGAAACCCAAACAGGGAATTTAAGGGATGGACTATCCTCTCCCCCGAGTTCTTCTTGTGCCCTGCTTGAGGCTCATCCATGTGTGCCAAAGCTGTCCAGTAGTTCAGCGTGGCGTACTTTTGATCTTGCACCAGTGGGTACAAGTGCGTGGGGCGGGGTTCCTTTAGCCTGTAGAAAAGAACAGGGAGCAATCATTACCATCCATCGGTTAAGCTAAGTTTCCCTGAGAATCTAGGAAGCAAATCATTAGTGCGAGCGCTTCTTCAAGGAAGCTTCCCCTGAAGGCGGCGGGGGGAGCTTCCTTGAAGAAGCGTGAGCTATCCTGCGTCCTGTCGGTAGTAACTACTTGCAGGTAGTAGCTACCTCTTCTACTAGCTACCGACTCCCTAGCTACTTCCTACCTGCCTCTACTTGCGGCCTACCCCCCTCAAAAAGATTTAAAAATTGTTCATGGCTTCTACAATCCGATTCCTGAAGCGTCGGATGACGGACGGAAAAAGCCATCCGAGTCATCCGGCGCCACCGCTCACACGACGGGACGCGGTTGATGTGGACCTGTCATGTGTCAAGCGATGTGGACCCGTTCATTCATCAACATTAGAATTCCCATGCTGAAAGTGTTCACAAGAAGAACCACAAATCACATGATGCACGGTGTGTGCAGAAAGTGTTCAGACGTCTAATTGCTCGAAGATACTTAAAATCTTCTCCACCTCCGCTCTTCGAGACGGATCTGGCTCGATTGCTGCCGCTGCTTTGGCAGCACGTCCAGAAAGCTCTTCCAGTGTTGTTACTTGATTCTTTCGGCACCACAGCGAGAGGATCTTTGTATATTGGCCCAATCCAATTTGTCTCAGCCATTCTGCTAAGCCTGCAAGGTTTCAATGACCAAATCTTGGTGCATCACAATGTCACAATGCCCCAGAATAGAAACTCTGGAAACGCTTTAGGTTTGAACAATACTTGCTATGCCTTCATAGTAGAGCATGTGGAATAACAGCAGGCAGTGCCTGGCACAGTGACATAATCGTTGTAGCCTCCCGAAGGAAAATGTTGTAAATGCAGAGAACATGAACACTTACACACCCCCCAGATATACTAAAACACTGCCCGATCGATGGGACCTGGTAGTTGCAGCACGGCGTCGGATGTCTAAGCATGTATCTTATAACTACTTCCAAAAATGCGTCGAAGCCAATGAGGGGAACGGTTGGGTTCATGGGCCATCAGAATGTACAAGCATACACATTATATAGTAATCATATGTATGAATAGTAGTTAATAATAGTAAAGATAATGTTTTTGTTACTGTTTGAGTGTGTTTCCGCCGTGCCTGCATGGAAATGGTGTTCCGCAAACCGTCTTGCCAGCAGCCCATTGCTTTCCACCGCCATTGCCCCTGGGGCCATGCCAAGCGTCATGTGCGGATGCACGTTGGCGCACAACCCGCGTTCCGTGTTCGCCAGCTGTGCTGGGGCTGCAGCGATGTGGCCATCCTGGCGGCGATCGAAGATGCACAAGATCCAACGAAACCTTCCAACTTGGAACGGAAGACTGTTGGATCCCTTTCAGCAGCGCGGAAAGGCTTGCTTTGAACGTGAAATCATCTGTTGCACCGCTTGCCACTGGCTTGAGCCAGTCTGGTTCCTGCACCGCCTACCTGTAGAAATAGACAGTAGTGATTCACAAGATAATCATGAGGTGAAGAGAAAAGGAAGTACTGAAGAGCCACTCTCACCAATCAAGTACTTGTTTTTCCAAGCGGGTCTAAGCGGTTAGTGTTCTTGAAAGGCACTGGGATGGATAAAAATAGTTTAGGTCACGGCCGCGAATTGCCCGCATTGCGGATTCGTTTTGGAAGATTACAAGTAAGAAGCAACAGTTCTCATCCAGTCATCCACTGTTGCTGCTTGACCCCTTCCACCCATTGCAGTAGCACCCCTTGCGTTTTGACCATTTGAATAAAACCAGGGGTTCATGCGCAGTCTAGATTCCAAAACAAGTGGTTTTCTGTAGACAAGCACTCCTTTTGGCATTGAGAGTGGTTCCACCAGATGCATGCCTAGATCCTCGGGGTCAGGCTGACTGTCCACTCTGGACTCCAAAACAGGTGACTTTTCGTAGAATTGCACTCGTTCTGGTATCGAGTGTGCCCCTTCAAAAAGCAGTCATGAGGGTTGGGGGCCAGGGCTTCATGCCCACTTTAGACTCAAAACAAGTTGCATTTGGTAGAAAAGCACTCTTTCTGGTATCGGGAGTGCCCCTTCAGTAAGAAATCATGGGGGCTGAAGACGAAACCACCTAGATCTACTTCTAGTGCTGCTACTTACTGCTAGTGTGGCGCCGACCGCCAAAGAAAACCACTCGCCCTGCCTGTACTCCTACTGCTGCTCAAACCAAGACTTTGAAACCTCTTGAGAAGAAGGCCATCTGCACTGTCCAAGGCATCACGAAAGCACAAAAGTGACGGGGGAAGAGTTTCAATCCGCAAAGTGCTTAGCCGCAAACCGCCACAAGAATTAGGGATTAGACTTGATGCGATCACATTTTTTGGCTTCCTCCCCCGGCCTCCCAAACGAAGTCGGAAACCTCCACCTGCACCGGCTGCCCCTCATGGCGCCGCAGCCTCCGACGGAGCTCCTGCACTGCGGAGGCGTTGCGCAGCATCGTCGGGTTCGCTCGGGCAATCTCTGCGTCGCTCGCGTTACCCACGAAGAGCAGCGTCACGTGGTACTGCTCCTGGGAAGCAAGAATCCTGTTTGGGAAAGCCTTTGTGGACTTGATTTGGATTGGGACGCGAAACAAAGGAGTGAGTGTATCAGTGTATCCTTTTCTGAAGTTTAGAGACCAATCTGAATTGGTTTTGTCTTGCAGCTGCTGAAATGCCCTAAGTCCGCACCCGGAACAGCCCGAAGCCCAGACACTCTCCATGTGGTGCAGTAAATGCTATGGGTGAACCTTCAGGATCTCATCTTTCCCTGCCGTTCGCTGGTAGAAAACCCAAGTAAATCCTCTCATAAACCGGTGTAAGACAGTGCAAAGCCACATTGTCACATATGTGCAATCCTCCCTTTGATGCGACAATACAAAAGATCACTCCGTCCTTCATTACAATGCCAGACTCTTCAGCGGGCACGAAATCACTGCAACCCCGCCAACGGCTCGAGAGCAGTTCGGTCGACGGGTGATCAAGCGCAATGGACCAATAAATCACTGAATCGGTTTCCCGACCTGGGAAATGAGATGCCATCCCAGGAGAAGGATCTGAGAACAAATGGTGTTGGTGGTCGATTTCTTGCTTGAATGCTCAAATGGTGGAACGGTCTAATTAATGGTAAAGACTTTAGAAGAGAACCTGATAAACATCAGGCTGGGGTCGCTGGGGCAGGGTGGCTTTAAGCCAAGATCAGGGCTCCTGCACAATTGCTCCCTCCGATGTTGCATGCTCGAAACGAACATGATCGACATAGAGAGACACGAGAATACTCAAATCTGGGCCCTTTCCCGATCAGAACTCCCCAAGCCAGGTCTGCACTCGTTTTCAGCTGGTACTAGCAACAAACACCCGCCCATCCAACTCCAAAAAAAATAGGGCTCTGCCCGTCTATATAAAGAAAAATATCTTTGCCACAATTCCAGGTGTCTGCTCCTTGCCTGGACCACCTCTCTGGCTAGAAGAGCTCCCAAAAGCGCTGCAAGTGCGCGAACAGCCATGGTGCAAAGCGCCAATGTTGGTTGAAAAGGAAAATGCAATCGTAGTCAAACGAAAGAAACACACTCTCAAACAAAAGGCTTCTCAAAGGGTAGTGACGTGATTCCGTTTTTGTACTGCTGGTGAGTTTCGACCGTCGAAAGCTGTTGAATTCAGCATTAGAACTACAAGCTCGAGCTCAAACTCAGAGGCAAAGGGGAAGGTGACACTGCCAAGAAGCACATCTATATCGACGGCCTCAAGGTTTTTGATGCAAACCCGGGTGCGGTCGACTCCGTGTGACAAATCCAATCAGGCCTCCTTCGGGCTTTGAACGTCTGCCTGGACGGATACTCTTCTGGGCATGCTCTATGTTGGTTGATGATCAATATCAACAAAAATCATTCTGAGTGTGGTGATAGTCATCTAATTTAGACAGAAGATGACAGAAGAGTGCTGATTGAAATGCGTGGGACCCTCGTTGAGCTCCCCATGGTATTTGTACCCTCATCCTCAGCTTGCTCAGCTTTCGATATTTCTGCCCAGGAGTCAAGCTTTGACTCTCCTCCCTTGAGCCCTGCAAAAGTGCCGGGACGCCGCCTCCCACATGGACACCTCTCCGCCCCTGTCAGCGCGTGGGCCAAACCGAGTGTTTGAGAGAGGTGGAGTGAGATTATACCAACTGATGGAGACCGGATTCTTCAAACAGCGCTCCCGTGACTTGCTCGAGAGCGGGACTAGACAAAGACCCAAGTTGATCTTGGTCTGCCATTTCGCAGTCTGAGCACCCCACAGCACAGGCTGGGGTGCCTGGGGGCTGGCCTTGCTAGAAGCATCCGGTAGCTGAGGTGGATCGGGCAGGTCAACAAAGAGGATTCCCTGAAAAGGGTTCCAGCCGAAATTGATTTTGAGTTACCCAAGAGACAAAAGAGAGCTGCTATTGTTGGTTCCTCACATGGCCCATTCAAGAGTCAGCAAATCTCGATCCGCTTTCCAACTGAATTGCAAGTGACCGGAGCCTTCTCAGCAACGCTCGGGGGTCTTTCGGCTGAAAGTCTGTAACTCTGTTGCTCCATGGGTCAAAGAAAGAAAGAAAGAAAGAAAGGACTTTCTGCAAGTCTTCTTTGAGCCGATCACAGAGCCTTTTTCATTTGAGTCGACATTGGAGTCCCACCCCTTTTCAACTCATCTCAACTCTTGTCAACCGGATTGGTGGTTTGGACTCACTGAAAAGAATATTGGTCAAGCATTAAATGCTTGAAAATAGTATGCGTGCATATTAATATATAATCTGTTAGAGAGAGAGAGAGAAAGAGAGCAAGAAAAGTAAAGTTCGCATGGATTCCAGCACGATTCCAGCACTCCCAGCTTCCAGAGGGGCTCCCCACTCGCCCTGCGGAGACTGGGGACCATGGCCGGCCCTGGCTGGGAGATGTGTAACGAACCAAGTTCGACCAGCTCGTTCCTCTCCTTACACACCAAGTCTTGTGTAGAGTTCGAGTCACTGCTCAAACCAGCATAGATCATGAGAGGTTGCCAAGTTGCCCCTCGCCCGGCAGTGGAGATTTGGCCCCACATCTGCAAACGATCTATTGAGACCAGTTATGATTTACATCCTGCTTGTGACATTCAGACACCCTAGGGCTAGGACCCACCAATCCCCAAGGTCCTCGCCTCCACCTGCCGTAGCCGGTCTGCCAAGCCCACTGTCCGCCACCTTGGCACATCTTGCTTTCCCGGCTTCAAAGGGTCATGGATGGTCGGCCTTTTGATGGCAGTTGGTGTCCAATGCCGACTGCAAAGCTACCCCCAGAATTAGTGGGCCTTGGACGTCTTCGGAGACTCTGACCAGGAAGAGCCATGTATATATATATATATATAGAATCTTCCAACCCCTTCCAACAGCCAACACTGTCGCTTCCCACTGCTGCAGCTCCTGTTGCACTTGATCACGCTCGGCACAGGCCGCTTGGCCTCGGGTCTGTTTCTGACGAGCGTCAGCACTAAAGACCACCCAAACAACGACTATCATCCATACTTTCCCTGCTCTGCATCTTCTTTGGCAGGGTTTGCATGTAAAGATTGCTCTTCAAGGCATGGTCACGTACCTGAAAAAAGGCAACAATTACGTGGCGTGACACCCGTAGTGATCATGCGATTTATTTGCATCTGACACTGTTGGAGGGCTGTAGTTGTGTTGGAAGTCATAAATAATGTGCCTGCAATGAAAAAACGGTTGCCCAAAGTCAAATGTTGAAACCACCAGAAATTGCATGATGTTTTTGATTTTCATAGATTTACATCGCTGCCGCTGCCTTAGCACAACTTCCATAGTTGCGCTTAATTTCGTTGATGTGTACACCCTCTATTTTTATCTTGGCGGCCATGAGAAGCCAACTGACCATGAAAAAATCATAAACAGTCTGTACCAGCACAAGGCCCCACAGTTGACCAGCACCTCCACAAATGACCTCTCCACGTGACAGTAATGTCTCAATCATCCTTTGACTGCAACCCCGGAAAACATGCAGAGCTTCGCAGCGCTTTCCGTAGGAGTGAACCCCCACATCGGCATCAAACCTTCGTGCGCGCGTAAATCTGAACATACCATCTTCAACCAAACGCAGTCCACTCCATCGCAGGAGTCTGATCCAACGACGATCCATCCCAGCGTCGCTTCTTCTGCTCTTCCTGACGGAGGCGCTGGGACCTGGTTTCAGCAATCGAGAAAAGGACGAAACATGGGAGAGGTCAGCGTCCATGGCGTGAACAAATTAAATCTTATTGTCTTGTCGGGTAATTCTTGGGAATCGCTTCACCTGTAGTAACAAGAAGTTTTTTAGTAATTCCCCCAATAGCGAAGCTATGGGGTCCCTACTGCAAACAACAATGAGTTGCCCGTGCGCGGCTTCGAGACAGGTTGCTGGTGCTGGGTGCCGGTGCTGGTGCTGGTGCTGTGAGCTGGCTGTGCACGCGGTGGAGAAGTTGCTGGTGCCGGTGCTGGTGGTGCTATGAGCTGGCAGTGCACGTGGTGGAGACAGGTTGCTGGTGCTGGGTGCCGGGTGCCGGTGCTGGTGCTGGTGCTGTGAGCTGGTGGAGACAGGTTGCGGGTGCTGGTGCCGGGTGCCAGGTGCTGGGTGCTGTGATCTGGCTGTGCATGTGGTGGAGACAGGTTGCTGGCGCTGGCGCTGGTGCCGGGTGCCGGCGCTGGTGCTGGTGCTGGGAGCCGGTGCTGGTGCTGGCGGTGTAGCTTGCATATGTGAGGGGGTCTATTTTCGGAGTTTTTTTCTAGGTAGCGAAGCTATGGGGTTCTTACTTCAAATAACAATGAGAGCTGCCTGCGCGCGCTTTCGAGACAGGTTGCGCTGGCGCTGGTGCTGTGAGCTGTGCACGTGGTGGAGACACGGTGCCGGTGCCGGTGCTGGGTGCCGAGTGCCGGCGCCGGTTGAGCTGGCTGTGCACGTGGTGGAGACAGGGTGGCGCTGGGGCTGTGCGCGTGGTGGAGACAGGGTGCCGGGTGCCGGGTGCCGGTGCTGGGCGCTGCCTGTGCGCCTGGTGGAGAGGACTTTGTTTGCCAGATAGTGAGGATTTTGTTCGCCAGATAGTGACAGCTATGGGGTTCTTATTGTTTCAACCGACAACGAGCTGGCTGTGTGCGCTTTCGAGACAGGGGGCGCCGGGCGCAGGTGCTTGCTGTGGTGCTGGTGCTGGGTGCTGTGAGTGGGTGTGCGCGTGGTGGAGACACGGTGCGGTGCTGGGTGCTGGCAGTGTGCGTGGTGGAGACGCCGGTGCCGGTGGTGTGAGCTGGCAGCGCGCGCGGTGAAGACTGCCGCGCGCGTGGTGGAGACAGGGTGCCGGGCGCTCGGTGCTGGTGCTGGGCTGGGCATTGGTGCTGGCGCTGGGCGCCGTGAGCTGGCGTGCCGGTGCTCGGCGCTGGTGCCCGCTTCTGACAGTGAAGTGATAACAACCGCCGCTTCTAACAGTGAAGGGTAACAAACTGCCGCTTGCAGCAGTGAAGGGCGACCAAGCGCCGCTTCTGACAATGAAGTGCCAGCATTCAGGGGCCGCATGAACTTATGCACGATACGGCGTCGTCGCTTGAGCGTTCTTTGTCTACTAGCGCTGTGGGGTATTTACACTCTTGAGGTTTTGTTTTGGCCGACAGCTGTGTCAAGGGCGTACGTATAATGTTCTATGCGCAACATCAGGCTCTCAACCGACCATTGTGTTAGCATGTTCCAGCATGCTGCACACACAATGGTCGTGGATGCTGCTTGGCCTTGGGCGAGTGAAGCCTACGGGCTTTGCCGTTTGTGCGCATACTTTGGCGCGCATAAACTTATACGTGCAAGATCATACGGCCTTATCGTTCTGCAGGTCGTTGCTCCAAGCATGCTACAAAGTCAATAGTGGCGCTGGATACTGCTTGGCCTTGGGCCAATGACACTTACGGGCTTTGCTGTTTGCGCGCATACTTTTGTGCGCATGAACTAATACGCGCAAAATCATACCTTGTTATTCTCCAAATCGGGATAGCTAGGGGGTTCTTGTTGCAAATAAGAATGAGCTGGCTGCGCGTGCTTTCGAAAGGTTCCAAAAGGGTGTCGGTGCTGGTGCTGGTGTTGTGGTCCTGGGTGCTGGTGCTGTAAGCTGGCTGAGCGCGCGTTTAAGACGGGCGGTGGTGGTGCCGCTGCCGGTGTTGTCAGCTGGCAAAGTGCACAGGTGCTGGTGTCAGCTGATTGTGCGCGCCGTGGAGGTGCCGTAAGGTGGCTGCGCAAGCTGCATACATTCTTGTTCCAGCCAGTCGCATGTCAACAGGTCGTCGGACTCTGCCTAGCTATCTGCGTCTATGCTGGTGTAATTTGTGTATGTCTTTGAAGCTTCTTAGTAACTAGAAGTCTTATTGGATATTCTTGTGGATAGTTTTTGGGACTGCACCTGGCCCCCAAATAAGAGTCTTTGCAGGGTTTCCGAAGTACTGATGGGCCTGCTGCGAACTGGGCATACCCTACCCTTGGATTAAGTCCCTTTCACCGGGACATCTTCAGGTGAGAGATCCCTGAAGTATCTCAGCGCCCACTTC